TTTTTTTTTTTTTTTTTTTTTTTCGTTTACACCGTGCACACGTAATTGCGCTGCGCGCACACTGTCAAGCAATGTTAACCGATTTGAAATGGCCTCATCTTCGCTAATGCAACACATGTGTACGGGGGGGAAAGGGTGGCATACAGCACACATACCCTACAAGGGGTTAGCCTTGGTTAGCTGCCTACCATCGACGTTAACACGAGGGGGAGAAACTTGTTCGCGTACGTGTGCAGCCTTTTGACTTCACGTTGTAACAGTTCGTTGAGATTTGCTATGTTTAGCGCGATCACCTTTCTTTGTTCGCATTCGTCCGTTTGTGCATGTTTCCTCCCCCGTCGCTTGAATTACCCATTCAGCGTAGAAAAGTCAACCCCCCTGCCCTGTTGCTCAACACGGAGCGGGAATTCGACGGGTTAATCCTCTTGACCAGGCGTCTACCATGTGCAACTTGCGTGTCGCTCGTTCCGCTTCGTACCGCTTCATACCACTTGACATTTTCTTTTTTGTGTGTTTCTCTAACTGTTTCCCACTTATAGGTTGCGAACAAGCATTCCGTTCGCGCAGCTGCATGCCTTGGTCAAACGCGCCACATTGTTGTGAAAAGAGAAAGGAATCCACGATTACACTATGCCCACTTGTACAAATGCATACAATTTTTTGCGTTTTATTTCTTGTACTCACTTAGCATACCTTCCTATACACACTGCCCTTCAATGCTTCATTATTCTATTTATTTATTATTTATTTTTTTTTTTTTTTGTCGTCCATTTTGTACGTACCAAAGAAATTTTAATTTTAATGAAAAATGAAAAAAGTGGGATAAAAAAAAAAAAAAAAAAAAAAAAAAAAGCTAAATGACGATTTCTTTAATTCAACAAAATGGGACTACAAAAAGCAAATGAGCGAATTCGAACTTCCATTGGGGTCTTTTAAAATAATGTACCAATCCAGTAGGCGTGAGGAGTAAGCGTGAGGGGAACACATCGGATGGGAAAATAAAATGAGGAAGCAGCATAAAAAAAAAGAATGAAGGAGAAAACAAATCCGAAGATAATATGATCCACAAAGATGATAACCCTCTGTTGGTGTGTAAGTCTTTCGTGAAGTAGAGATCGTCTGTTGCGTTCTCGATATATGTCATTTCGGGAAGCCCTTCGCCAAGCTACTTGGGCTTGGAATTAACAAACTGGGGTAAGTACTGCGGTGTGTGCGGGGCACTTGGCCTATCATCACCATCCTTTCTCCTCTGTCTTTCCTTTTTTTTTTTTATTCACCCCATCGTCATGCACAAAGATGAAGAAAAAGGACTCACTTGTTCATATTTTTCCAAAAAAGCTTTTCCTTCAGCTTTGACATTTTCGTCTTCCAGTTTTCACTATCGTTGGTTTTATTTTTTTGAACAGAATATTTCCTCGAGGGTGTGTCAGCTGTGTTGTACACGTAACGGTCTCTCTCCGCGTGCACGTGTTGATCACTTTCGTCATGAATTTTCTTCGGCGCGTGGTTTCCATTGCCTTCGTTTTCGTTTGAGTAGGGTCTCTTCCTGCTTACGTTTGGGTCTACTCCATTAATTTTTTTTTTCAAATTGTCGTGTGATGTGTTGCTACTCTTGGGGATTCTGGGCATGTTCTTGTCGTTTTCAAAATGTTTTTCTCTGTGGCGATCTCGCTCGGCTTCTCTATTCCTGTCCCACTCTGCTTCTCTGTTCCTTGACCACTCCGCTTCTCTGATTCGATCTCGTTCTGTTTCTCTGTTCCTTTCCCATTCAGCTTCCCTAATTCGATCTCGTTCTGCTTCCCTATTCCTTTCCCA